TTTAATGGCTTGTATATAAGATAAATCGTTGCTCCGAACTCGATAAGCGTATCAGGAAAGTCTTATTCCGAAGGAGAGATTTTCCGTTTCATCTCTCTCGACTGTTTACATCGATAAGCACGGCAAGAGAATCGTAAAGTTATATTAATGTTTTCTTTAGGAATACTATAAAACGTGCGTAAGATATATTTATCGACCGAGCTCTTGTGAATTTCGCCAGTTTCACGTTCTCTCGATGCTTGAAAGGATTTTTTTTTTAAATTGTTATCGCAAGGGCCGCGCTAGTAAAAAGACTCGAGTTTACCGTAAAGTCCTTTATTTACAAGTATGCGGTAGTGATCGAGTATAATTTAGACAGCGCATGCGGATAATACGCCTGTCCGACTCGCTCGCGTCGCATTTGTACGCCTTAGGAGGGCATAGAGAATTCTGCTTGCTTCCCCGAGGGCTTCTTATACGGGATGAATGGCCTTACTGCCTAGTCACGCCGATGCGAGGCGATGCGGCGATGGATGAAACCGAACGAGCGCGGGAGAGAGCCACCGACCGGAGCAACAGGTGTATACCACGGAAAGGCGGGCCGGTGGCACGCCGATACCAACACGTGCTTGTACTTGCGCTCGTACGTAGCTCGGTTTTAGTGCGACGTACAACGGACGTCGCGTCGCGTCTGACCGCACTCTAATTCACTTCGCGACATTCCATTTTAATTTCTTCAGTCAGTCCTAACGCACTCGTGCCTTTGAGCGACGTACAAAGGACAAGAGCCCTTCCCAAACTTGGAGACCAACTTGGCAACAAAAGCTCGATTTCGTGACTTGACAATTTATGAACATTCCACGTTGTTCCTTAAATTATGATTGATGAATTTGACGTCTTGTTGCGTTGACATTTTTCCTATCGCGCGCACATAGATTGTTTTATGTATCGACGAATAATTAACTTTGGTTTTACAATCGAAAGTCTTATCGAAAATACACATGAGTTTTTTAATATCTTTTTTAAATATTTTTTTTAAATTTTGTTTAAAACAAGATTCGCTCTCGTCGCTCTTGCGACGTCGTTTCTTCATTGCCACGCTATTCGGGGAACAACAATTTTCGAACGTGAAATATAAGAGCGACAGACGAACTTGGAGACGCGCGTTTCTCTCTCGCGCAGTTTGCTCGGAACAGCTGCTGCAGTTGTTTGGTTGCTGAGTATTCTCGAGGTGTAGTGGAAAGAGGGATAAGCCAGAAGACGTTGGTAGCACGTGCCTCGTGTCGGCTGTACACGTGAAGGTTACACACTCACCCTAGCATATTCCAGATGGACGGGAGAAAAAAAAATCCTTATAAACAACCGCGGAGCTGCTTGGGTTTTGGAGTTGCTTTCATATATCGTTGGACGTTCATTCTTGATTATATCCTTCTTCAAAAAACCGCAGAACTTCGTTATTCTTTTAATTTACAATTAAGTATATATATATTTTTTTCTCTATCCACATTTTATTATTTTTTATGTAGAACAATTTTATTAACATTAACGTTTAATAATAATTATTTGTATATACATCTTTAGTGCATATGTAGATGAACAATGATTAGTATATAGAATTAGGAACGATTAAAACTGTTAATAGTCATTTTTATGTCTCCTGTCGTCATATCGGCAAGCAACGTGTATTCACAATTATGATTTCTTTTTTTTCCCTACAGGTTATCTCGTATAATCTGCAGAGCATATCTAATTAAGCGTATCTAATTATTCCCGGCTATAAATGCGTACTTTAAGGTTTAACTAAGGTTATCGGATAAAGAAAATATTTTTATCGGTTGGCATTAATTGCTTTGGAGAAGGTATACAACTTGGTCATTGCGCCGATCGCCCGCAAATAACGTAAGCTATGCAAATTTATGTTGAACGTGTCGGAGGTCAAATGCCATCTGGGTCGCGGGCCTCGGGTACTTTAAATTTCCATTCGATTAAGTAAAGGATCGCGCTCCGTCTAACTCGTCATCGATCAGTAAGTTAAATGCGTTTTGTAAAGAAAAATGAAGAAGAAGAAGAAAAAAAACCTCGTTAATCCGCGATACATCAACTCCACAGCACCTGCCAGCCAACGTATCGCGATATCTCGATCTCCCCGTTATATTCAGACTACAAATGATACACTACGGATACGAACGTTCTGATTTATAATCGCGATGTGGCAATATATCGTAATAAAAAACTCGCCACACAGAGAATGCATTCTAGTCGCGAAATCTACGTGACCGATATTTAAAAGCTCAGTACGTAAATTCAGAATTTTATACTTTCTAAATTTGAATCAGTGAAATTATCACTGATTTTCAGTATACATTTTCTAGTGATATAGAATTGTGATAAACAGTATTTCAATGTTTATTTAGTTATAATATTCTGATTCTCAGTTCTTAAAACCGTTGATAGTAAAACTTATTATCTTTCAGCGATTATACTCATTACTTTTTTAATCAGTATATTATCAATGACACAACATTGGAATATTCACTATTTATCACAGTTTCAAGTGGAAAATGATATACACTGGAAAAGGACTGATAAGTGATTCCATGAGTGATTCACTTTTAGAGAGTAAATTCCCAAATTTATTACTTTATATTGTATATGCGTTCTCCAATCTGGAGTAATTCCTTAACGTTAAGATATAATAATTTTAAATTTTATCAAATAATTATTGGCACATGATTAAAAATTCACGTTAATCATCAAACTCGTATTTTCTTAAAGCAAGAAATCTCATCGTTAAGAAAACGTAAAATTTGGTGCACTTTTTATTTTTGAACGTAAAGATGGTTGAATAAATTTTGTTTTGTTAATAATGGAGGTAAATACTTAATAATCGAAATGCATAATCCCAAGCGTTGCGTATAATATCGCCAGTCGCGAGTCGATTATACGCGGCCGGCGTCCGCGCGAGCGACAGAGTTAGTGCCGCAGACGTCGTTCCTGCGAAACACTTCGCCCCTTTGAAATTCCACTCGCGTGGCCGCGGTTGCGCCGTTGGCACGTGAATTTTCAATAGATCGCCTCGCGTCGTTCGCTCGTCACGCATTTGAACAGCATCGGCGAGGGCCTATCTTTGGGCTATCGCTACGCGGGCGGGCACAATTTCGACCATGCTCAGAAATATAAACTCTTCTCATTAAAATCCTTTATAAAACATGTTTTTATCTTTCTTAAACGTTAGTTGGACCAGTTTACAGAACTACTTGCAGAAATAATCTCTTAACCGTTGTATTAACGATTTCACTATTGTCAATAGTCTATTGATGCAACGCGTTGAAGACATTTGAACGCCTACAGAGTATCTATAATACTATGTGGAAAAGCCTGGAAAAAGCTTCTTAGAAGATTTCGTTTCTAGTCTTAAATGTCAGTGATTATTTTTTTAACCTAAAAGGTTAGATAGAAATTTGCAGAAAAACTTCCATAAAAATTCTTATTTAAGAAAATACTAAGGATTTTTATGAAATTTTATCGGTATTTAGGGAAATTTTTGGAGTTTTACTTTTAGCCTGAGAAGTTTTCTGCAAATTTCTACCTAATCTTTTAGGTTCAGAGAATTTAAATTTAAAAGTAAAACTCCAAAAATTTCTCTGAATACCGATAAAATTCCATGAAAATTCTCATTATTTAAGAAAATAATTCTGACAGCAGAAAAGAGTGACTTACTGATACTATTGTATATTGTATGTAGTGAGCCTTATAAGTTTTTTCTACAAGTTTCTATTCTATAAGTTTCTTATGGCTTCAATTGTAGAAAAGAATCGACATAATTTCGTGGAGTCTCTGCATAATTTACAACACACAGTTTGTGTTGCTTACATCCTAGTTTATTTCAAAATCGCAATAAAAAGTAAAAATACCTAGAAAGTCTATAGGAATTCTCTGAGAATTTTTTACCGCAAGATTTCAGTAAGCATCCTAACTAAAAATTCTTCCTGCTACAATTGTGTAGCTAATGGACAAGCCCGTCCCGATGTCGTTATATATCTCGCCACGGAGATCGCAAGAATAATGCGTGTGAGTGCCGTAAAGTGCCATCTCTCGTTCGCCTTGGTGCAAACGCCGTAGAACAAGCGGAGCGATGACGATGACGACGATGATGACGATGACGACGACGACGACGACGACGGGCGATGGCGATGCACCTGCCTACTCTGGCGGCAGTTGCACCCCTCTTTATGACGATGCTATCTAAGATGGTTGTGTGTGCCCCCTTCGTTTCGCTTTTGCTCGCTTCGCCGTTGCTCCGCGCCCCGTGCTGGTAGCCGTGCGCGCGACACCTGACGCACGTACGCGCTCGTAAAATGTGCGCGCTCGCGCACACGTGCGGCCATACACGCGGCTTGCACGCGCACCTCGCCTGTGAGAAGCAACATTAACCCGCCTTCTCACACATGGAAGGACTATACGCGCTTAAGCTCCTCTTCCCTCCCCCGTGTTTTACCTCGTTGCCTCGTCACTCATTCGGCCGGCCGACTTGGCGAATCCGTTTCAATGCGCCTTTATTTTAAATAAAGACGTGCTACCATTAGCTCTCTGTCGCGGGCATCGACACATGGCGTCGTATCACGTGCCTATTGTCCTTATTGAGCACCAGTAGCAGGCTATGTAACTATAACCGTAAACTTGTGTGTGCATACACAATTTGTACCTGATCTATGCGTGCGGAATTCTTCTTGATCGTTCCGAGAAATTCGAGGTAGTATTTCGTCCATGCTAAACCAAATGTACGATACGAATTTACAGTCGCATTAAATGGATAAAATCAATATTTTCGTTTAAATAAATGTAAGCGTTAAATAAGAGAAGATGAGAGAGAATGATTTTTGTTAATCGATCAGAGAGTTGCAATGTTTGTAGGATGTGAAAGAGGAAAAGAGAGTGAAAGAAAAAAAAATGTAATTCACGATTAAAGTATATATTTATATTGAAGTTTATTTCAACGTCATTATATATTTTTTTTCTAGATATACCGGCGCAAGTGCCGCCGTTAACACCTGGGACCAACAAGAAGATGACCGAGGCTCTGGAGGCCTCCTTCGCGTCTTGGGAAAAGGAGCGACTCCGCCTGAATATAACTAAAGGTCAGCTTTTATTCTCATTATTCTTGATTATACTTCTTCGTGATTACTCTTAAGCACAGCCCATATAAGCTTAATTAAAATAATGGTATCACTTTTCCCTCGTAAAATCGTGTAATTACAATGCGTCACGTAATTGCAAAGCGTGTCTTTACATCGAGTGCGTTGAATGCGTGCATTGCAAAATAAGCGTCTTTATTATAAAATTCGTAAAATCTATAGCTAGACTGTCGTTAATTGAAATCTTCCGTTTGCCGTGTGCCTCAAGATTACAATTGTGACTTTTAAGTAGATCTTTTGTCTCGCTCAAATTTTTTAACAACAGTAATCGCCTTGCGAGCGTAAACATTATAATCTCTGATTTTTCATGGTGGTTTATACGATCCGGAATTTATGATCCTCGTACCGCCTCACCGCGTAAGTTGTTAAAAAATCGCTACAGGCGTACAGAAGGGGCAGGGGAGAGAAAGAGAGAGAGAGAGCACATGTACGCGCACACGTATACGTACGTGCGTTCGTATTGCTTGCTCGCTTGCGTGCGTGCGTGCATGCGTGCGTGCGTGCGCGGGAGACGCGCGTAGACGCGGGTGCGCGCGATGTGACGCGATGTGCGACGAGGCGGCCGGCGATGTGCAGGAATTGTGAATGTGATGTTGATGGTTCTGATGGGGAGCCGATGCCACACATCCGGTATGCGCATTCAGAGCCACGCGGGTGTGACGTTACTTCCGGTCTACATGCCCCGGGTTCGTACCCTCCAGGCCAGATCACCTACAGTCTGACCTCCGTGAACCGAACTCCTGCTCCTCTTGCCATTTCACTTCGAGCCTGAGACCGCCGCGTTGGCCTCTAAATCTTTTATCATCAAAAACATTTAAGCATTATTAATAATAGAATCCTATTGTAGATATGTATATTTGAAGTATTTGAACAAGTTAAGAAGAAATATTTTCTTGATTTTAATGAAATTAGTTCCTCTTCGCGAATGACAAAAAAATTTTTTGTTTACATTTATAAACGAAAGTTAATCAATTAAAAAATTAGTAATTGAAAAAAACTGGAGTTTAGACCGAAAAATTTGAATATCTTTTATAGGAATAATTAATATATTGCTAAAAATCTGTCTGTGTCTAAAATTTATTAATATGTATTATCTCGTCAGAGGATGTGTGTGTGTGTGTGTGTGTTTACACGTACAAAAGAACGCATACCCTTAAAGAAGACGCAACATGCATTCACAATTACGTTCTGACGCGTCAATATCACATTCGTTATTATGATTTATTCAGAATCTATCTCTTTTGAATAATAAATACAATCGTAAGAATGCCTCGACGTATGAGGATGGATACTTCCAATCCCCGTGAGTTTCAGTATCTCTCGTGTTTTATAGTATAGGTTTTAGAATAGAAAATCCCATTGTAGTTTACAATATCTAAATAACTAAAGCAATCGATTGCTATCTCGAAATCACCGACGTATTTTAACGTGACATCTGCTCGTTATCTGTATAGAGAATCGAATTCTTCAGATGCACTTGATAAGTTTTACTATTTACATTCTTCAATATCGTAGCGGCAGGTGTCAAATATATACAAGTATGGCAAATATCAACGGCGCAGGGCACCTAATTTTAGTCGTTTAGTGTCGTTTAGTAATGGAAAGAAAGGAGAGGAGTGTAAAATAATATATTGATAACGAGGATCTATTATGCATGCAGCGATCGACCAGTAACAGAGAATACGCGTGCAGCGCGCGCGCGCGCGCCCGCGTACGCGCGAGCGTAGACTTGTGTTCGAATGCGAGGCGAGAAAGAGAGTGTAAAGTCTGCTAACAACGCTTACGAGAAATAAGTTGGGCAAATATCGGTACGATCCTCAAACATCGGCGGTCGCTTTGAACGTGCCGTGCCATCGCCGTTAGACACTCTTGTTGCCTCGGTACTCGCGCTCACTTTTTCTTCCTATATTTATATTCTAGCCTACGCGAAAGACGTCAATTCATTTCGTACTTTATCGATTCCACGAATAACGTCGTCCCATTCCATCATGCAGTGTATCTATTTTCGAATTTGCACTCCTATCGTGCCCGCTAAAAATCCTATATATATATATTTAGGTAAATATTAAGAAAAACTTTTGTCGAATTTATTAGCGTTTATTTGCACTTCACTCTTGTACGCAGAGATTTTATTTAGAAAAGGGACAAAAAATTTATTTCTATCAGAAATATTATTTACTTTGAAAAAATTGACAAAAATTAGAAAAAGTTTTCGTTATTATTTCTCGAGAGTGACAGTAACGTGGCAAAACTATTTTGATCGTCGAATCTCTTCTTTTTAATTCTTTTTAACTCCTTCATTTTGATTTTTTTCTAAGATAAAATTTTTAGAGGAACTATTTTATCTTGTGACTTGTGTGATCTCAATTTTGACATTTTTCTCGAAACATCCTATATATTTTGTCTTTCCTGCGAGAACTTTATCAGGCATCACAGATTTTTTCCGATTGTCCTACTCATATCGTTAGTGTTAAGGCCAGCTACGGAGATTGTGCGAGCAAAGATATATACATTAGCAAGTCGCTACGCTGGCAACTCCTGTTTGCATTATGAGCCCAACTGTACTTTTACGCAGCGAGATACCACGAAACAATGCAAGACACGCGTGCAAATATGGGCGCGCACCTCAAATGGGACATTCCGATGTTTCTCGGTATTGCTTCCACCAAAGATGGCTTGGGTCCCGACTATGATCACCTCCGTCACAAACGTACGGCGACGTATAATATTCGTCGTTCTTTCGATAACTCTCGGCTCGTCTTGACGAGCTCATTTACAGATGACCGTATAGATAAATATAAGAAAACAGGAAATTTTGAGTTTCGTTTAAGATAGGTCAAGTGTCTTTGTGACTTGAGATTTTGAAAATTAAAACTTGTTTTCCGCATTCGATAAAGATAAACTGCTTGTTTTTTTGTTTTCGGACGAGACAAAAGGTCCTTTCATATCGATAAACACAAGCGTGGCGATAAACAGTCTACCTTCCGAGAAAAACAACTACCTATAATAGTTGCTGAAAAGATAAACGTCATTATTTTTGTTTTCTTGTTTTTTTTTCCAGACCCGAGGCAATGGTCGGAAGCAGCTGTTGCTCATTGGTTGCACTGGGCTATCAGGGAATTCTCGCTGGAGGGTGTGGCGATGCAGCCGTGGCAGCACATGACCGGGAAACAGATTTGTGCCATGGGGAAGGAATCCTTTCTAGCACGTGCCCCCGCCTTCATGGGCGACATCCTGTGGGAGCATCTCGAGATCCTGCAGAAAGGTGCGTGCTCCTCATACGAACGGCGACGATCGGTGTTGCGTCAGTCTACCTGAAAACCGCCCGTTAAATCACTGGCGTATCCAATGCGCGATTATTTTACCTCGGCCCTTAAGATATTTTTGTCAAGCGTAAAAACTTTTAACGGGATTTTTGTGCGAGGAAGCCTGATGAAACAGACCATTAGTCCGAAGTATTTATAATGCGCTCTATCTTCCTCGACCGGACACGGCGTGTCAATCTGAAACACACTGTTATGACTCACGCACTGCCAACTATTAATGATATTACGTGATAATTACATGATGATATTGCTAGGAATAGCTGCTGATAATCTATTATATCGTAAAACAATTCGCGGTAACTATTATTCTACCGGGAGCAATTTTCCGGTGACTTTAGCTTCGGATCGTCAGCGCAAAGTTTTCAATGCAAATATTACAATGCATGAAAAATTAAAAAAAAAGAATAACAATTAATAATTAATTTTATTAGAGAATAATGATTACTAACTTATATCGCGATATTGTTTTAATGCACAAAAAGAATGTTTTTTTTTTCTATTAAAATAAACATTGCGATCAGTTTTGCGTTTCTTATACGCTGAATGCTCATCGGTGACCCCCCACTGTTGCAAATCCGGGGTTAATCGCGCAAGAAGTGTTCGCGCCGCTCGCGCGCACTACGCACTTTTTGCGGCGCGGCGCACCATCCGTCGCCGTCGACAAAACCGATCGAATTTCCGTAAAATCGCGATGTCACGGCGCAGCATGCGAGCAAAAGGACTCCGGAGCTCCGGGCGAACAATGACGATGGGGCGGTGCGCGCGCGCGCGGGTGGTGTGGCCACCTCTCTCTCTTCTCCTCCACCGCCTCCTCCCGTGTCACTCTCCCGTTTCGTATCGTTGAATCGCGCGACCCCCTCGTTTTTACCTCGCACGCAGCGCGAAGAGAATGAAGCGGAGGAGAAGAAAGACAGAGCACCATAGAAACTCTCATCCCGGATATCCGCCGAAATGGTGCAGCGCCATTGCCGCGGCCACTTAGACGCTTTCTCGGGGAGGGATGTACTCGCGTGCACCAAAGAATTCACTCGAATTTCGATCTCGCGTTATACCGTCAATGGCCGAGCCTCGATTCGGCCGTTGTCCCCCCCCCCCTATTACCGTCCCTCGTGCCCTTTTTATGGTGCGTGCGCTCAAAACAGCAAGTCAAGTTCGCCATAAATGCGCCGTTCGATCGTTTTAGACTTAACAAAAAGCAGAGAAAATTCAAAGAAAAGGTACACCTATATCCTCGTGCGTAGAACGGACCGAGAGCAAGTGGAAAATATATAATAGAGGAGGAACGGTGCAAGTGGAAAAATATATAATAGAAATTTTATTATAGATGAAAATTTATTAAAAATTTCAGTACAAATTCTAAAACTTTCACTCTCACGGCAGAAAAAGTATTGACACTGTTGATCATTTATATTTACAATAACTTTAGTTAGCATCTATATTTTAAATAAAACCAACATATTTATTCATTAACTTATTAGCAAATAATTTCTTTCATAAATTAGCTATAACATTAATTCTATATTTACACAGATAATCTGAGCATAAATGTAATTTAACATAATTTATTTTTATACATTTATCTATGAGTACGCAGTAAACATTAAGAATCCAATCAAGATTAATGTCTCATTAATTGTTAAATATATTAAAAAGCTGTATCTACTGCGTAACGAGAAACGTACGTATAGAACAATAAAAAAAATTGAAATAATAGAAAATAGAGAGAAAGGAAGGATAGAGAGACTGGAAGGGATGACTAAAGAGGGAGACTTACGAAGAGATAGGAATACAGATGGGAGCTGAATAGATCGAGATAGATAAAAGCAGATCGTACGAAATGATGCGGCAGGAAGCGGAGGTTCGCTTGTGATTTAACTCCCGTTAAGTAAAACCCCCGTACTTCCTTATCGATTATTCATATCGCCTCATCATTGGCACTGAAACCTCGACTTAATCGACTAGCGCGATCTAAGGACGACTACTAACGGTAACTCACCACAAAACTCAAGATTCGTCTCGAATACGTAATCTTTCTCTCTCCCCCCCCTCCCCCTCCTCTCTCTCTCGTATCGAAAGGGAACGCGTAAATAAGCACAAGCGAAATAGAATTCTTAACATTAAGTTCGACGTTGCAACGTGATTTTTTGATAAAGATCGGTTACGCATTATTCAACATTAACATCAAAACAATATAATATAAATTATTAAATTTTATTATACAAATGAGCATGTAGGATTCGCCGGAAATCATTGCTGAATTAAAAAAAATAAATAAAAATTTTGCGAACTGCTAGGCTTTCTTACAGTTGCAAAAAGCTACTAGGAACTATAAACTGTTTTATTATCTGCGTGTATTAGAAATGATGGAGAGAGAGATATATAATCACGTATAGCTGTGTGATTTTGCGGATAGTAGGAGCGGCAGGGAAAAGAGTCATGAAAAAGCATCATCGTCGTCATCGTACTTTCCACATTCCAGCCGTGCAATTTATTATTGTGCTACGATTGTGAACGATGTAGTCGGCCGCGCCGCGTGATCCCTCTGACCGAGGCGACGGTAATTTAACTGAAGCCTAGCGTGCACCCGACGCTCGCAGTCGCGACACGACGTGGGTAATCGCTTTGATTCCGCGAATGAGAACGGATGTTAGGAAACGCTCTTGCGTTGTATAAAAAAGTAGAAACTAAAAAGTTGTATCTTCCTGTCGCGGCGATACTGATCGGATTCACGGTGAAATTCATTAATGCGATGCGTTTCGCCATCGTCGAGACGAATGAATCGATCTCTTTTGTATGCCGTATCGGATGGAAGCCTGGATTGATCGAAAAAATTTTCCCATTGCTTATAACCCCGGTTGAATAATTGCTTGATTAAATAAAATGTCTTTCTCGAATTCGCGCGCCGTTCACTTTACGCCGTTCCGACATTATCTCGCTATAAACAATGAAAGCGCAATTTCCATTTCGATGCAGACGCAATCTACATAAATCAATTTTTAAGCGATCTTTATTTCCGAGATAAACTCGAGTTCTACATTAAATAAGTTTTTCTAATTTAAATCAATTTTTTATTCTGATAATTATTCTGACAAAAATTATTTATTATTTGAAAAAATTAACTCCATATTATATAGATTTTGTTCTTGTTACCAGAAGAGTTTATCTCAATTATCTCCCTTATTGCTTAAATAATTAATAGTCGACAGTGTATATAAACGTAAAACCGAAGAGAGAACAGTATGGACTACAGCGAGGATTATTTGCATATTAAAAGCGAAGAAGTGTAACAGAGTGTAAGAACACGAAAAATACGGAAATATTCATGGCACGTATGTCGTTTTTACATTTTGAGTCTACGATTGTTCCACGAGAATTCCTAGAAGCGTAGAAACAACCGGCGATGAATCACGGCAATGGCGAACGTCTCCTTCGCAATACGGTCGCGATGATGATAGTGCTACTCCAGATCGTTAATTACGATTGCGATCCGCGATGCGCGGAACAATCGTACTTACGGGGGGAATCACTTAATGACAAACAATGCAATATTTTATTTCTGTCATAATCAACGCGCGCGCTGAAAAACTATCAGGGCACACATGCCGTCGCGATAACTGTTATCACGCGATGATAAGGGGCTTAATTATTACGATTAACATGTTCATTGTCCATGAGGTATATGACCATTCATGTGTACACGTCCACGAGGCGTATATATACCCCCGATGGATGGCGAATAGTGCGCAATAGTTTCTTTCCTTTTTTTGCTAATAATGTTTAGTTAACGGGTTCATCAATCAAGATACGAAACATATTTCAATTTTTGCAAAAATATATTATTCGAATTTTTATTTTATTTTTTAAATTTTACGACATTTTTATTAAATAAACTCTTGAGATCATATCGTTGATACATGTTCAATTTATGGAACTCTCGTGAAGAACAAAATTATAATCGCGGTTGAGGAAACGATCGTATACGACAATAATAATTTTTTTGTATTAATACAAAATGCAAAAATGTTACTAGAGTCTCTTCAGTCAACGCACATTACTATAACGTTAACGAGCACTTAAGAAACGATGTGATTTTACCGTGCTTAAAAATCGCGAATGATGAACGTGCACAATTTTCAAACGGATTCAAATGACAGATAAAAACGGAGATGACGCGAATCTAGCTATTTAACTCGCAAAGGCATCAGAATCGAACAAAGCGTTGGCAGCCCGGTTGAGGATTTATCTCCGTTTTACATTTAGATGTCGACGCAGCGAAGGCCTCTCTGGAGAACGTGCCGGCGAACTTGTATGAAAGCGTATGCGTGCCAGATTTAGGTGATTTTTTGGGATACCAGGGTGGCGGCCATCAGGTGGCAACACCAGAACATAAAAACCCGTCGACGCCCGCCAATTCGGCCACCTCCAACTCCTCCGGTCCTCCTCAGAGCGGTACGCAACAACAACCCCCGATACAACCCTCTTCGGGCGCGGTGTCCCTGCCATCGAGACAGTATCATAACGATGGTAAGTCCATTTTTACTATTCCTCTCCGTCTTCCTCCAATTCGCGAAGAATTACTCTCGGTCTTGCGTTAGGAATATCCCGTAGACGTGCATACGTCTTACGTCGATTTAGAATATTCCACAGAATATAGCAAATTTCTGTAGAATAATTTCAAACCTTTGAGGCCTGGAATCTCTTCTCTTCTCGTGGGATCTCTTTGTCGCAGAGTATCGAGGGCGTTTCCTCTAAAAACGAGATAGTGATACTATTAATTTCCCTGTACGACCGCACGCGCGCGCGTATAAAGAGCGTTATCATCGACGATAGTGCCTGTGCAGACGATTGCAGCGAGCTTCACTTCCTATAAACACCGTGTGGCGACTTTCCGATACTCTTCCCTTTCCGATAAGCGATAATTAACTCGCGCGCATATGCAAGGGACCGCTAAATTGCGCGACGAGAGACGCGTTTTATTTATTTCCCCCGATTGCAAGTACAAACGAAAGCGTGGAGGAGTTTCTCATTGTTACGTCAGGGCGGCTGATAACATCTCTCAGGTCGGTGCGTTTGCACGTGTTGCAAACACAAACCTCTCATTATCGTCACTGTTCGTTCCTCATTTAGCATTTCTTCGTCGTCGTACCGCGGGGTATACCGCGTCGGCGACAGGTCGCGATTTCACCGGCGCGTATATGCCTAGAAATCGAATCGTCAAACGTCTAGCCTCTCCTCTCTCTCTCTCTCTCTCTCTCTCTCTCAGGGCTGATTGCGATACGGCTCGTTACAGGCGCGCGAGTGACAAGCGAGAGGGTGAGCTCGAATGACGTCCGAAACGAGAAACACTCGGACTTTTATTAGGACGCGCGCGCCCATTTATACATAGCCGGGCGCGTCTTCAGCCTTTATGTAACACTTTGTTTTGTCCATTATATTCTTCACGTAGCGCGGTAATCACGAGAATATTGTTGAACCTGAAAAACTTATTCTTTATTTACGGCTCGCACACTCTTGAATTCCCGATGAATACGCCACTACATAATATCTGAATAACAAACGAACTATCCCACAATCATGTATGATAGTTCATAGATAACATCGTGTAGATGATGTAAGCTACCCGCGCGGCACAGTTCAAACTCATTTTTTCTCTCCCTTTTTTTTTTTTTTTTTTTTTTGCGGAATTGCCTGCGGAATAGCTCTCTTGCCGCTATTCATTCAGAAGTTTTGTACAATCTTGTGAATTGCGACCGCGGAAGGATTTACTCGGGGATCAGGACGGCGCGGCGGCACGGCCGCGTGTCAAGCGCATTTTGCGGAATATCGAACTTTTGTTGAATGAAGCCGCGTCGATTGCGCAACGATTTTGTTATTGTACAACGCAGGTATTGTGCAATGCGGTCTCGACGAGATTTCGCTAGCGTGTGCTCGAACTAAGAATCGTATTATTCACCGGTCACGAACCTTACTTTTAATTTCTTTACGGCGCGGGCGAACGAATTGCCCGAGTGAAAATATCAACGCTAACGCTGGCGCAACGGTCATAATAAAATTTCCCCCTCCCCCCTCCCTTCGGTTGCGCCCGCCGTTATGACGCGGAGAATTTTTGCACAAGCGCGTATGACCCAGTTTTTTGTCTAACCATTAACGTTTGATCATTTATCTGGCTTTGACCGAGTTACTTTCGCCATACGCGCTTATCCGTTGTAAAAATCGAATTCATCATTACGTGACGAATCAGCTCTCCCGACAAGTGCGTTTTGCACAACATATTAACGTGCCGCTGTCGAAAGACCAAATAGCAACGTTCATCGTGCGTTTAACGATACGTTTGTAGCTGTTATGAATTATGCTTGAATTTTAACGTATTACAGTGGTCGGTTAAAATTGTGCTTCCTATTGCACTTGCAAGAACTTATGTTTTAATATTTAATATCGCGAAATGCAAGTCACAAAAATGCGGAGCAATGCATTTTTTTAATACAATTTGCGTCGTTATTAAATTGACTTTTTTTTTACATCTCTAGATGATCACAGAGCGCAACATAAAATCTAAAATAAATATTAATTTATTATTTAAATCATAAGTAATTTACTCATTAAAAATTTACTATTGATTTTGTGTTGTTAAAGTTGAATTGTAATTGATTTTACAACGCGATACAATATCTTGCGTTTTCATTTTATTGCTGAGGATGTTACGAAACGGAAGAAAAAAAATAGAAGATTAGAGAGGTGACTTGCAATCGCGACAGCTGAAACTGCGATTTTGCTCGCGTACTATAACGCGGTCTTTATCAATGGGAGATAATCCAGACTTGGCGTGTGTGTCGTTCCGTAATCCATGCGCCGCCGCGTACACTCCGCTTTGCAATCGCGAAGTGCGTTGATGTTGGGAGGCACGCGCAATACGACGACGGATGGAATGGAATAGAGAATGGAACGGAGCGCGGAGAGTGGTGGAGAACATTATAAAGCGAGTCTTCGTACGTAGCGCACGGGTAACAATTACCCTAGCGAGGGGCCTTACGTCACTGCAGCAGTGACCGTGGGTGAACGAGGGAAAGTCGGGTCCTCTACACGCTCCGCCGCGGACAATAGAGACGATTCGCCCGCGCCGCGCCGCGCCACGCCGCGCCACGCCGCGTCGGCTGACGCCGTGCGTGTGTCTACCTCGATATAACGCGCGGCACGCATACACATACCTGCGCGTGTACGTGGACGTTAATGAATGCGCTCGTATATATCCCGATTTCAATCGTTCTCGTCTACGTGGAAGGCAGAATGAAACCACTACCATGTTAGAACTGACTGAATCAACCGCTGAAAATTCTCACCGGAGCTGAGGAGGAATTTTAACAACTACTGCAATTAAAATCTAAATTTCCCAAAAAGACAGCTTGTAATTCAATTGTATCTGATAAAGCATACCCTACATTCCAGCTCTTCTCTGAAAATAAAACGCGTCGACTCGCGTTCACTGTGCTTTGATCTACGAAAAAAATTAATTACCCGCGAATAAATTTGTTCTTGTTAACATATATAAAATCAAATATACTAGAAGAACAATGTAATTTTACGTGTGCACTGCTATTTCTTTGAGGCCCTCAAATAAAGTGTTTCCGGTCTCTCTCCAGACCGGAAGAAATCTGTCTTTAATACTTTACACGATACTTCAGCATCCGTTAATGTCCAAATAACGTGTAAGATATCAAAGGAAGATTTTGTTCCAGTCTAAAAAAAAAAAAATTTGACAAGCGCTGACTGATATTCGTTCGCCAAAGTGCGTCCCGGCTCGGCCCGGTACCGTATGTACGCGTCTTACGGACGTCGTCGTTACAAAGCGACCAACACAAACATCCGTATAATAGACTCATTATTTCTGCTTGCTAAAGCACTGTTACGTTATGTATCACAGCTCTTCGAGGTCTCTGGTTCGACTCTCGCTTATCCTCGCTTTCGACCTCCTCGTGTCGGAACCGCGATGTATCGCTCTGTTATTTCGAACCGAGACGACGGTATAAATTTTTAATTGCGCTATTAGAAACCCAGATAAGTCCCGAGATATTTTCCGACGATATTAATATATTTATTCGCTAATTGGATTGTTCTGCGTTGCGCTCCTAATGCTCCTCGGAATACCTTATTTCAATTTCAAATTTTAATAAATAATAATATCGGTTGTCGGAAAAATTGTAATTGTCTGTTCTTCAATTCATTTCTCAAGAGCAGAAATTTCTGAATTCAAATCTCCTTTCTTCGATAATATAACTTATTGTTAGATTAATATTGCGAGATTAAAGGTGTGTATATGTAATAACAATATTGTAACATCGTACAAGGGTTGTCGAACACTCTTACGAAAATAAGAGTTCGGTTATATTTGATTGTAGCCTTTCCAATCGCCATTTGAATCCACGGAACAAGGTAGAATAGGTCCTTAGGATGAATTTTGTGAACGTATAGACGATGATAGCGCGTGCTGTCCATGAAGACAAGCGTCGAGCTTGTCGCGTATTCATTGCTTCGTGTCACGTATCGCGCGCACGTGCACGGATCCACAAACACGCGTAACGCGTATATGTGCGCGTGCATATTAATATGCATAAATTAACGACAGCGAGCGCGGGGACGAGAGAGAGAGAGAGAGAGGGTCGAATCCCCGCGCGCGCGAAAGCGACGCTCGCGTCGTGATTTGACGACGAGCACACGCGACGCCCAAAAAAGGATCCGTGACGTCCGTCGATGGCGTTTATGGGAGAGAGGAGCGATTGGTCACGCCGGCGAATACAATGATTATTTGTTAAGCAACCCTCGCGTTATAACTAACGCCGAATGAATTACGCGGCATTCCGATCGCTTCTATCTCTCTATCTCTCTCCCTCTCTCCGTCACCTAACGTCCATCGCGTGACGTCAGCTTTCATCGTATTTTGTAATTTTAATTAATCGAAATTTTCCTTATCGTAGATAATCTTGCGATAAAAAAACATTAATCTGATTTTTTGATTCTTTGTTTTGTGTAATTAACTAAGATACGTAGTTTTTACGTATATAGTCTAGAGTAATCTCCTCTCAAAAAAGATACTCTCTTTTTTTCTAAATCATAGTCAATTACATACAAATGCTAGACATCCAGATCTCGAAGTTTCATTCGACCCGACATGAAACTCGTACATGCAAATGTTGGAGTAAGAATTAATCCCTTACTTCGTTCACTCCTCGTTTTTACGTTGAGCGCGCGCGCCGGAGGCGGCCAGAGCAAATTGTACCTAGTTCCTCAAACCGGTATATACTTAATGTGTGACTAGGGCTACGCGGGAAGCTTAATAAGCGCGATAATAAAACGGTATTAAAAGCGCGGTAGCGGCCCGTTCTCTCGAACCGGCGCGCGGTGCGGCGCGAACGAGAGAGAGCCATCACGCAATCTCCCGCGTCGCGGAAGGATCCGCAATGCACACACCGCTGGCTGGTGTCGCGCGAACGCGCGTTATACCCAGCGGCGTCATATGGTGCGCCACCGCA